CTCTAAGATTGACCTAAGGGCAGGCTACCATCAGGTGAGGATGAAGGCTGAAGACATTGAAAAGACTGCATTTACAACTGCTAGTGGACTGTATGAATTCGTGGTTATGCCATTTGGATTGACCAATGCACCGGCCACATTTCAGAACTTAATGAATAATATATTCAGTCAGCATTTGAGACAATTTGTTCTGGTCTTTTTTGATGATATACTGATCTATAGCCCAGATATGGAGACTCACAAAAAACATCTCAAGCAAGTATTTGAGTTGTTAAGACATCACACTCTCTTTGCAAAGAAATCTAAGTGCATATTTGGAGTTCCACAAGTGGAGTACTTAGGACATATAATCAGTTCTAAAGGAGTAGCTGTGGACCCTTCAAAGGTTAAGAGTATCATGGACTGGCCAATTCCATCTAACCTTAAAGCATTGAGAGGATTTTTAGGGATGACTGGTTATTTCAGAAAGTTTTGCTCAAGGTATGGTGTTAAAGCAAAACCTTTAACTGAATTAACAAAAAAGGGGATGTTTAAGTGGAGTGAAGAAGCTCAAAGAGCCTTTGAAGAGCTGAAAGTGGCAATGTGTACTGTACCAATTTTGCAACTGCCTAACTTCCAAAAACCTTTTATAGTTGAGACAAATGCATGTTATGAAGGGTTAGGGGCAGTTACAAGATGGTCATCCTATAGCTTATGTGAGTAAAGCTTTAGGACCTAAGAATCTGGGGCTATCCATTTATGAAAAAGAGTTCTTAGCCATCCTACTGGCTATTGAGAAGTGGAGAGCATATCTGTTACATGCTCCATTCACCATAAGGACAGATCAGATCAGCCTCAAATATTTGGTCAACCAAAGAATATCCACTCCTACTCAACATAAATATCTTACCAAATTACTGGGGTATGATTATACAATTGAATATAAGAAAGGTTTTGAGAATAAAGTAGCGGATGCTTTATCAAGAAGGGACCAGGAAGAAGAAAATATGGTGGGAAATTGTACTACCATATCAGTCACCAGACCGATGTGGCAAGAAGAATTAAGTGTAAGTTACCAGGAAGATAAGGAAGCTGAAGAAGCCATTTTACAACTAATATCTATTCCTTATAACCTCAGTTACTTTTCATATCAGAATGGATTACTGAGATATAAAGGAAAGTTGTATGTGGGAACATATGGAGATTTAAGAAGGAAGATAGTGGTTATGATACATGAGAGCAGTTCAGGGGGGCATTCAGGAGTACTGGGCACACTGAAAAGAGTAGAAAGTGTATTTTGGTGGCCAAATGTGAAGTTAACAGTGCAGGAAGTTGTGAGTGCATGCTCCATTTGTCAATTATGCAAACATGAGAATATTAAGTCTCCAGGATTGCTGCAACCACTCCCTACTCCACAACAGGCATGGCAGCATATAACCATGGACTTCATTGAAAAACTACCTAAGTCTAATGGTTATGATACTATATTAGTAATAGTTGACAGATATACTAAGTTTGGCCACTTTATAGCTCTGAGTCACCCTTTCTCTGCATCTATGATAGCTAATACCTTCATTAATCATATCTGCAAATTTCACGGATTGCCTGAATCTATTATATCTGACAGAGATAAAATCTTCACCAGCCTCTTTTGGAAAGAACTCCTCAAATCTTTAGGAGTGCAACACCATTTGAGCACTGCCTACCATCCACAGACAGATGGTCAAATCGAGAGAGTTAATCAATGCCTAGAAAATTACTTAAGGTGTATGACTGGGAAGACACCTAAAGATTGGAGCAAATGGCTTTCATTAGCTCAGTGGTGGTACAATAGTTGTCATCACACAGCTATTGGAATGAGTCCTTTTGAGGCTCTCTTTGGATATAAACCACCAATGATGGAATTCAGACTCGGAAAAGAATTATTAGTGGTTGGAGTTGAACAAGAACTTGAGCAAAGGCAGTTGATTTCAGAGCAATTGAGGCACCAACTTCAACAATCTAAGCACAGGATGAAACAAATAGCTGACAAAAACATGAGTGAAAGAGAGTATGCAGTTGGGGATTGGGTTTACTTGAAGCTTAAACCTTACAGACAGCTGAGTATGAGGAAATCCAACATATGGAAGTTGAGCCCCAAATATAGTGGACCTTTTCCTATTATAGAAAGAGTGGGAGCTGTAGCCTACAAACTGCAATTACCTGAAGGAAGTAAGATACATCCAATCTTTCATGTTTCAGTACTGAAGAGACAAGTGGGAGTTGCTGATAGAGTTATCAATAATATTCCTCTTATGAATGAAGACGGTGATACTATGTTGAGACCAACTGAAATTCTTGCCAGGAGGATTGTTAAGAGGAATAATGTTGTTGCTGTTCAATTACTCATCAAATGGGGACACTTACAAGAGGATGAAGCCACTTGGGAAGACTATGATAAAATAACTAAGCAGTTTCCGGAGATTAAAGCTTGGGGACAAGCTTCAATGGAAGGAGGGGAAAATGTTAGGATAAAGTCTTCTATGTTGCACTGGATTACAACTAAGCTGTTTTGACAATAATTTTTATGACTTGTAATCAATAGGATGATGCCACCTCATCATCCTATCAATGGCTGTAAATAGTTGGTTTGTTAGTAACCGAACGGATATAAACAAACTATTGTAAATGGTTGGAGAGCCTGATGAATAAGAAATCTCTTTCTCTCGAACCTCTTCTTCTTCCTCTCGCTTAAATTCTTTCTTCAGCTAATTCTTGTTATGATTGTGTGATTCTCTCAACCTATCATAACATATACTAGACTCTGTGAAGAAAAATACCAAAAATAAGAACATTAAGCAAACGAATTGTTAATATTCATTAATGTTGAGTTGAGAGGAGCGGCTATGGCATGGGGAAACCCTAGTCGTCAGTCGCCTCCTTTTCTCTTCTTTTTTTCTCTTCTTTCAATCTTCTTTGATTCCAATAATGGAAAATTATCTTATTAATCAGTGTTTTCAGTTCTATTATTTATCTGTTTCTTTCACAACGTTGTTTGGAGATATTATTTTCGATAGCGAAGTATCGTCTGCCGGATGCATCTTCTCCGCCATTTTCGGTCGGGCGTTCTTGTGTGCTAAGAGGAGATTTGCACTGATCTCTTCATGAATCAGAAATGTGATTTTATGATCTTCTGCGCCGATATTGAGACGGATCGACCCCCTCCTGAACCACCGCCGTTGCAAGAAGATGAGATCATTTGGATTACTTTCTTTTCGGTGGCTGGTGAAACCGAAACAAATTCTACAGTTGGCTCCTTACCGGTGGCTGGACAAACCGGGATGTTTACGAGTTCGTTTCATAATTATTGTGATCGTAGCAAGAGTAGTCAACCTGAAGGTAGAGTCTACTTCTTTGCGGGATTAGCGATTCGGGTTTTTTTATTCGAATCATCCGTTTCTATGTCTCATCTCATTGTAGCCTTGAGCTTTATAATTGTAATGTTTCTTGTCATCTTTATGAATAATAATTAAGTTATTCGTTTTCAAAAAAAAAAGTAAACGAAGTGTTAACATTAATATTACTAAAAATGAACTCATTTCCAAATAAGTGACCTTTTTTAAAAATTTCGAAAAAAGGGACCTGCTACACTAACCGGCTACAGTGACAATGGTACGGTGATCTACTAGAGTCACAATGTTACGGTGACAAATATCACACGTACCAATACATAATTATATCACAGTTACATGTCAAAAGTGACCAATATTATTATAGTGACTAAAATTATTACAATTATTGACAATTACATTTCTGGGGTCATATTTACATGTCAATAGTTACATTTCGCTCATCTAGTGACACCTGTCCGCCCCTCATCCCTCTTCCGCCTGTCCTATCCCGTGCCGCCACCACATTGTTCCTTCATGTGACTGCTGCCACCGCCCAATCAATTCCTGTAGCCACCGCCCAATCCCTTCTCGTAACCGCCACTGCCGCTCATTCCAGAGACTCTGTCCCCAACCCTAGCCCCCAAACTCCAGCCCGTCTCCATCGTCGTGACCACCACCGCTAATCACCACCATCCCACCACTACCCGACCCCTTACTCCCCCCCATTCATCATTTTTCACAACCATACCTCCCCCACCGCTTGCACTCGTGGCCACCTTCCCCACCCTTTGCCCTAACCTCTGCAAGCCGTCGCCCCTTCAACTCGCCCATGTCACTCTAGCCAAACACTAGCAGCCGGACATCGTCTAAGGCCGCTTTCTCTCTAGATCGATGAGTATCGGCGTGAGCTTTCTAAATCGAAGCTGATCGAAGGTCTCCTGCTCCAGATCGATAGGCGGCGGTGCTCTCCGAGTCGAAATATATCGAAGGTCTACTGGTCCAGATCGATAGGCAGCGGCGCTCTCCGAGTTGAAGCAGATTGAACGTCACTGCTCTCCAGATCGATAGGATGGATTTGCGAACGGAAGAAGAAAGGAGGTGCGACAAGATTGTGAAGCGATGGGGGGGTTGCGAAGCGGCGGTGATTGTGAAGCGGCGGCGGCGGATCTAAGAAGCTGGTGAGACCTGCGCTCGGGTTTCAACCTTTTGTCATGGTATTTATACGAGTCATATTTTTGTCTAAATTAAAAACTAATCATATTTATGTATAAGAAGAAGCTGATAGTAATTTTTTTTGTCATTAATCCTGAAATATAATTGAATTAGTCATCTTCTAACTATTCATGATTACGAATTATTATAACATTATCAAAATAATAAAGAAATCATAAATGTGATTTGAAGTTGATAGTTGTGTGACTCATAACTATTTTTTAATCTAATTGAGCTCACACTTTTTCCTATAAATAGAGTCTTATCTCATCGTAATTATCCAACTTTATCAAGAATATACACAATATAATCACTTACCCTAATGTTTTTGCTTATTTCATCCCATTTCAGAATTGGGAGAAAGATTTTATTTATCAATTTTGTGTGTTTATCTTTCTTTTTGACTAAAAATACTCCTTAACATTTATACCAGACAACCCTACGAAATAAGTAGTAAAATACTCCGGGTGTATTTTATACCTTAAGAACACCAGCAAGTAAACTTTGCTGTAATCGCCAAAGGTTGTTTGGATTTCCATGAAACCCTAATTCGCGGCAGAGAGCTTCTATCACCATTCTGCTACCTCAGTTACAGAGAATTCGGGGGTTCCAGCACCAGCTGTGATTCATCTGTCTCACTTGCCCTCAAATCTCCGTCATGGATGCTCAGAGAGCATTGCTCGATGAACTCATGGGCGCATGTATTGTCTCAGTCTTAAACCGTCTATTACTTTCCCAGTTCTATGTTCATTAGATGGTGTAATACTGTAATATACTTTTGATCAATGAACCCTTACAACCGAGATAAACTCTGTCTTGCAGCTCCTCATAATTAGAGTTTGAACAATATTGTAATTTTGAATGTGATTATGTGAACCATTTGATTTAAATGTAGGAGAGAGAATTTTATTTTTAGCATAATGTATACCCTTAAAGCGCAGGATTATGTTATCAGCATCCTAGTATGTTATCTCCATCCAACTGTTTCAAACTCATTTTCTGATTGAAACGTGATTAAAATATGAGACATCTAAGCAGATGAGTGCTTTGTATCAGCTTTCTATGATTCCTTTTCTACATGTGTAAGTAAATTATTCTTCTTTCATTGCTAATAATGCTGTTCATGTGTTGTGATGTGTTTGATAGCTCGTAATTTAACTGAAGAAGAAAGGAAGGGGTATAAGGAACTCACATGGGATGACAAGGATGCTTGCGGGTTCTATATGGTTCGGTTTTGTCCCCATGATTTGTTCGTAAACACTAGGAGTGATTTGGGTAAGTCTTAGTTTTGTGAAAAACTGATCAAGCGCTGATAAGTGATAACTTTGTAGAGTCTTCTTTAGTTTTTTTTTTTTGTTTTTTATATCATTTTATGTATCGGGGATAGTATATTGCATTATACGGAATATATTTAACCATGTAAAGCAATTCCTTATTTTGTAGATTTTTACTGTTGTACTTCATTTACTAATTCTCTTTCATCTTGTGCTTGACATCAGGGCCATGTCCAAAAGTTCATGATCCGAAGCTGAAGGAAAGGTGAGAGTCACTTTTATTTTCTTAGGTTCTGATTCAAGATGTTGCCTCAACTAGTTAATTAAGAATAAAATAAAATAAGATGACAGGCTACCTGTCATTTTACATTGTTTCAACCAGAATACCCGTCATGATACATAATCTATGTGTTGATATTTGAAAATTGCTTGAATGGTTTCTTGTTGAAGTTCATAGATTCTCAAAACAAAATTACATTTAGGGGATGCTTGATTACCCTTTGGCATATGTAATTGAAAGCCTTTGACTGGTGAAGCTTCACATTGTTTCCATTCTGATATATTTGAAGTTATTGTAATTGGGAGCAGCCTCTTGTCAAAAATTTGATAGGGGAAGGTGTGTTCTTATACACCCTTGTGGCGGGACTCTTCTCTGGACCCTCGCCTTGCGTGGATGCCTTCGTGCACCGGGCTACCCTTTTATTGTACTTGGACATACCTTTCCAGTATCCCCCCATGTTTGCTCATCTCCAGGTCACTAGATGTCATCATGAGTTGGAGTGGCTTAGGTTTAGAAGAACTATAAGTTTTCTTTGAATTTTTCTTTTCTTCTAATATATTTTTTCATTATTGCTTTTTTACTTTTTAAATTTAGGCTCATTCCTATTATTATATACCCAAGAGTCCAACACTCATACCAACTTTTTCCAGTCACTAAGTATACTCTCCTATTGCATTTGAATCATGAATGCGTTATGTATGTTTCCAGTTTTGAGAATTCCCCAAGGCATGATTCGTATGTTCCCAAGTTTGAAGGAGAGCTTGCTCACTTCTGTGAGAAGTTGGTTAGTATATTTATTTTTGTACAGTTACACTTTCAAATAAAATACATGTTGGAAGTATAATGGCTGGACTATTAATTGTAATGATAATTGTTGATTTATTGTATTTTCTAGATCATGGACTTGGATCGAAGAGTTAAGCGTGGTCAGGAACGTCTTGATCAAGATGAGGCAACACCCCCACCTCTCCCAATTTCTACAGAAAAATCTGAGCAGTTGTCTCTTCTGGAGGAAAAGATCAAGAATTTACTGGAACAAGTGGAGTCTCTTGGTGAAGCTGGACAGGTGGATGAAGCTGAAGCGTTGATGAAAAAGGTGTCTCAAACTGCTACTGTTGTTATGGCTGCTGAAATATTCTTTTTCCATTTTTCATGTATACATAAATTTTGATAATTAGGCTCCATATGTTTTCAGGATAGTTTATCTTGAAAAATGTTTTCTTGTGTTTTTGTTTGGCACTGGAAAATAATTTTTCTTGAAATATTTTCATGTATTTGGCGGAAAATCTTTTTTCCTGAAGGAAGGTATTTCCTATAATTATTCAGGCTTTTATTTGGAAAATTATTTTTTTTACTTTGATCACAGACTATAAAGCCAACATTATTTTATACATTGAACAACTCAATTTTCAGGAGAAAATTTTCTACAACAAGCTTGTCTTGTTGTGTTATCCTGTAAACAAATGGAGTCTTTTTTGCCATAGAAACTAAAATTTTAGCCGAAAGGAGCAACATTCATAGCTCAATGAAATTGATGGGGTGGGGGTAAATTAGTTACAGTTTGCACTCCAATCCTCTTTTATCGTTGAAATTGATGAGTATCAACTCATTTTCAGGTGGAACTGCTTAATATTGAAAAGATATCATTGACTCACAAGTCCCAGCAAAGCAACTTGTTGATGATGGCACAGGATAAAAAGATGGCATTGTGTGAAACATGTGGCTCCTTTTTAATTGCAAATGATGCTGCTGAGAGGACTCAGTCTCATGTCACTGGCAAGCAGCATGTTGGTTATGGCATGGTTCGAGATTTCCTGTCTGAGTACAAGGTAAATGGTCCACATTCCCTCAACAAAAAACCAGTGTTAAATGTTTGGGAGAACTGTCAAATGCACCCTTGAAGTATATCAAAATAGTCAATTAAGCTCTCAAACTAAATAAACACCCAATTGAAACCTTCAACTCTAGAAAAAAGTTCAATTCTATAATTTAGTAGGTAATGTTCCAGTTTTCCGGTAACTTTGCTTACGTGTATTAATTTGCATTTTTCATTTTTTTCTTGCTTTTCTATTTCATTTTCTTCTTTTTTTCCTTTTCCCTCTATTCCTTTCTTCTCCAGCAGACCAATCTTCTCCGATTCCAGCCTGTCGCTCTCCACCCTCACATTTATTCTTCTTCTTCCAGGTTGTGTTTTCTTATTTTTCTCTAGGTAGACACAACTATACACAGAACATGTCAGTGTGTCACAGCCGCTCTTGATCTCCTTCACGAGTTCATTTCCTTTGCCAGCCGCCGGCGATTTCACTGCCTTAGCTTATTTGCGTCGCCATCGCGGTCGAGCTATATTGAAGACGAAGTCACCGCCCTCATCAGAGACAAGATGTGTTGGAAAGAAGTCTCTGACCCCATCACTGATGAAGTGGTCGTGTTTGGCACTTCGGCTTGTCACCATCGGAGCTCAGTGGTTGCCAACTTGCTGCCGTCCTTGGCCGTCGTTCGATCTCATTGGTCGCCCCAGTTTATGGTCGCCTTCCAGAGGCAAAACCCATCATGATGCTTAGCAGTGAAGATTACTCTTGAAAGCTGATTGCTGTAGGGATGGCTAGAAATGGGGCTGGAGCCCCTCCTGGAGGTGGCTTTAGGTTTGCAAGGATGTACGGATGTGTGGACTGAGAGGATAAGTGGCTAAGGATGAGGAGGAGGAGGAGGAGGAGGAAAAGGGGCTGGCGGGCCGAAGAAAACGAAATAAGGGGAGGAGAGGGGCCGGTTGGACTGAAGATGAACAAAGAAGGGGGACAGGACGGGTGGGGCGGGAAGAGGAAAGAAACTGCAAGGAGGAGGGGGCAGGTGAGACCAGAGGAAAAAAGAAGAGCAGGTGAAGAGCAAGAAAAAAGAAAAAAGTTAGTAAAATTTGACACATGTACTGCCATGTGTAATCGTGTATCAAGTGACTGGATAACCGGTAACCAACCTGTTAGATTATACATTTGAAGGTTTTTACTTAGTTCATAGGCTTAATTGGGTGTTTATTTACTTCGAGGGCTTAATTGACTTTTTTCGTATACTTCGAGGGTGAATTTGACAGTTTTCCCTCAATGTTTTAATCCCGGCATAAATGGTATCCGCCCCACAACCTGACAAAAAATAAGTAAAATGAAATAAGACAATTGAGGTACATGTTTTTTACTTTCCTTGATATTTGGCACCACTAGCTAGTCCCTTCTTTAAATATTTAGTGACCGTTAGCTTGTAGTAACTGAAATATTCTTAAAAGGAAAAGATTGTAGATTTTGATGTATTCCTATTTGGTATTCTAGCTGTTGTGGCTAATTAATACTAAAAGAAATAGACTTTCCTCCAAAAGGTTCATGGTAAGGGTCAGATTGGTACTCAAAGTTGCATAAAAAGGGTCAAATAAGTCCTTACTGTCCGGCCGCCACCATTTGGGACGGTTCCCGGTGGAATTTTTTTATGAAATTTTTTGAGCATCTTATTCATTAAGTCTAGTTTACTCATACCAAATTTCAGCTAAAACTTCAATCGGGAAGACATTCAAATGAATTCTTGAAGACAACTGCGCTTTTAACTGCACAGCTACCTTCAAGAATTCATTTGAATGCCTTCCCGGTTGAATTTTTAGCTGAAATTCGGTATGAGTTAACTAGACTTAATGAATAAGATGCTCAAAAAATTTCGTCAAAAAATTTCATCGGGAACCGCCTCAAATGGAGATGGTTGGACAGAGTCTCCTATATAAGGACTTATTTGACCCTTTTTTTGCAACTTCGAGTGCCAATCTGACCCTTACCTCTTTAGGAAAGAGTTGTGGATTCAAAGCTTCTGCAATAAAACAATTTAAAAGACACGGCAGTAAAAAATGTGCTCAAACAACATCCTAAGCGTTTTACAAAAAATATTTATTTAGTCTAAAACGTCTCAATGCACCTCCATAGTATCAAATATTTCTACATTTATAGCACTTTATATCACGCAGCCAAACCTTTTTCTCATAGCACACCACAGCACTTGTTATTTACAATTTAACTTCTATAATCAGTAATACCAAACTGACCCTGAAACCGCTTTACCACTCGGCATTAAGGAATTTTACTTGAAAATAAAAGTTAGACTTTTTCACATAAGGCCATTTTTTGTGAACAATTTTTTTTTTGTGGGAGAGGGGATATTGTCTTTCAGGTGGAGGAAAATGAAGTTGTGGTTTTTGTATGTTAGGCTGCACGAGAGAAGGCAAGGGAAGAGGAAAGATTGGCAAGAGAGAAGGAAGCGGAAGAAAGAAGAAAACAAAAGGAGAAAGAATATGACAGCAAGCGTAGAAGCGGCGGTGGCTCATCTGACAGAGACAGGCACCGCGACAGGGAGGAGCGTGATCACCACCGTGAAAGAGACCGAAATTCAAGGGGGGCTCGTGACAGAGACAGGGGCGGTTCAGATTGGAAGTACAGTAATTCCAGAAACGGAAGGGACCGGAACAGAAACCGTGACAGAAGCAGGTCGAGGTCACCGGTGAGGACTAGTGGTCGCAGGAGCTCAACTAAGAGTCCAGTCCGCCAATATTAGAGGAGGTGTTATAAGGAGATATAGACTTCTGAACTTTGAAAAAGTGGAGGTAGACCATTCTATTATCAACTCAAAAAGTTATCCTGAATGTTGTATGAGAAGATCCATCTGTCCATCTCTTCATGTGTGGAACTGTTTTTTTGATCTCACAGCAAAGCTTTTTTGAGACTATAATGATCTCTCCCCCCTAGCATCAATGTAGAGGAGAAAGAGTTTATGAGGTAGGTATTGCTCTGTTGTCACTCTAAACTCTTCTATTTTTCTGCTTTGTTTGAATCATTTGGTATGAGAGTTTCCTTGACCCCCAACTCTTTTCGGGGTCACATTATTAGCCAAAACAGATTTGTTAGTTAGCATTGGTAACTACAGCTGCTTAAGGAGATCATTCCTACAATGAGGTAACCATTACAAACCCATGTTTATCAACCAAGTCTGACCAGCATGAATTGTTACTCTCTTCTTTCTTTATGGTATCTTTGTATTTCTTTTCAGACCAACGAGAGGAATTAGTATTAAACTATTACTGTTCATTTTTTGTTTGCATATCTGGCGTGTCAATCACAGCTCATATGAGAATGCTTAAGCCTTGATAAAATTTCTATATGATCCAATGGTGGGGTTCAGATAGGTAAATTCACAAACTCCCTGTACCTTTATTTGGCAGAATTACGAATATGCGGTGACTGGTTGATGTGGCAGCAAGTGATAGTGTATATTGTAATCATCATCGTACATCCAAATGATGAAAAGAGTATTTCTATGATACAAAATTGTTGTTTCTTAAAAATAAAATGAGCATCTTTTATATTTGAATGGGTGTTGCATTGAGTAAGGCTTTTGGGACTAAGGTTTGGATGTTGTTGTTGTTGGGTGTTGCATTGAGTAAAAATGAGTAGAAATAAATAAGTCATATAATCACGATGAAATGAACATTCTTACAATACTATAAGGGCAGTCATTTATAATGATACAAATGTACCTAGATTTAAATTTACATCTGGATGCATCTTATAGTAGCCACATCAGTATGAAATGAAAAGGAGTCAGTCGAAATAAAAGGTAGTTTAAGATTTGCCAATGTTGGAAAGGGTCAGGCTCATGAAATTTATAATTTTGAATTTCTTAAGTTTAGAATTTAGTTGGCATCTGGCCATGTGTTCCTAGTTGTCATCATCAAGTTTATCTATTCCGCAAAATGCCCCCAGATATGTGAGCAGGGTTCTCTGGAGGAGGATCTATTGGTACAGACACAGGGCATGGTGACATGTCATTATTTTGAAATATTAGGTCCTATTTAGGAGTATGTAACACGCTTAGTATGGCTTATGTGGATACGAGAAATAACTGGAGTATCATTATTTAGTAGGATATTAATGAACCATTCATACACAGTGCATGTCTGTTGGCGCAAGTGACTCTTTTGAAAAGGCCAAGTGAGAATATATGTAATGTAATCTGTTTGTGTTATTTAGCATGTTACAGAAGGGATTTCTCTTATGTAAACCATTGTGAATGAGTATTACTATTTTATATCCAACTCTTAAGTTTCCATATTTTATTTTATTTGATTTCGTACTTCTTATTATTATTGGTTATATTTCGCATTCATGTAGCAATCGCAGTTTTCAAAGAACGTGCTTTACTGCATGTTTTGGAACTTTGGGTAAGTAGATTTTGGGGAAAGGATATGGAGTGGGAGAGAAGAAAACTTCACAGTTCACACAATCACACTTCAGTGGAAAGAATTTGAAAAAAACTAGAGTTGGGACCCACATGATAATGCACAAGAAAAACTCTGTTTGTACCCACTCCTTTGAGAAGGCTATTTTTTTTGTCGGTGAATGAGAACATGTCTTAATTGTTTGTGAAAAATAATTTCAGACATAACAAACATGTTTTCAAAAAATAGCCTTCTCAGTTCTCACATTTAGGGATGGATTGGGACGGGTCGGCTCGGCCCACCACTGTGCAAGCCCGACTTGGCCCGCCTTGCACTACCGGGAGTCCGGGACCGGTACTTGGATAGTTGGATGTCTTGGATGCCCGAACAGGGGATAGAGGGCAGGCTGCGGGACTAAGGATGGATCGGTCCCGGGTCGGGGAAATGGAGGCCCGGAACCGGACTGGCTATCTTCCAAGATCAGGCTGGTCTCGGGTCGGGTACCATTTTTTTTGTTTATTAATTCTACCTCCACACCTCCAAACACCCCAGCCCAACCCGCCACTTACCCAAACCAGTCAAAAAAATCCAAAAAAAAATATTGGGCCTGAATCGGGCTCGGCCAGGTACCAAGGGAGGTGCAGCCTGGAATCGCCGCCAAAAATCTCCCCGGGCTGGCCCTAGGCCCGGAATCAGTCCTGGTTAACTGGGCGGCTAGGCCGGTTTGATCCTGCACAGTGGTGGTCTGGTCCGGATCCCGGGCTGGTCAGACTGGAACCAGGCCACCCCTATGCGGGACAGAGAAATGGGTGAGCGGTCCAGACCATTTTTGGCATTGGGCCGCTGCTAGGTGGGTTGGGCTGGGTGCTATGGCGGGGTTGGGGGGGTAGGAATAAATATGGAAAGCCTAATTTTTAAATAAAATTATAGGCCCGACATGGCCCGGTGCCAATAGAATCTCGGGCTGGTATTGGCCCTTAAGCCCAAAAATCCAGTACGACCCAAGATTGGCTTGGGCCCGGTCCATCCCTACTCACATTGGTGAGTTTAAGTGTATAAGGTGTTGTTGGGATATTGGGTCCAGGCCCAATATCCCAGGCCCAAAATATGGGGATACCAGGAAGGAACAGAAGGTCCAAAACGGTCCAGACGCGTTCGGCGTTCGGCTCATTACTTACACTTGGAGCATTTCGGAGAACAACTACACCTACATCCATGACGAGGTACCGCACACCGATCGGCGTTCGGGATATTGGCTCTCAGGATAACAATGACAGGGTATCCCAATATCGAACATCCTACCCGAACGGGCAGTCAACAAATGGATGCTGCATTTAATGCTAAAGTATGGCGGTAGCAAGTGGAAGCATGGGTTACTACGTGGCAGGGGATGTAACCTACTGGATTCAGCCACGTGTCCAGCTTTCCCATCCCCATTTTAGTATAAATACCTGTATTGAGATCATTGTAAGGGGTTAGCATTTTAATACTCAGAGCTTAGCAAGTAGAAACACTTCTCTTACTTTGGCATTCTCGTATTTACCACCCGTTCGGGTAATTTCGTTGTAATCACAGCATTACTGAATACTAATAAGCTCTTGGAGTAATCATTATCTCACTATTTTATATTTTAAACACCTTTCTGAATCAACCCCAAACATCCTTAGATACCCAAAGCGTGTGTTGGGCTTTCGGGTCTTTGGGATAAACCTCAACAGGTGTGTATAATGATGAGTACAAATTGCAGAACTAAATACACAATCATTTCCTCAAAGGGAGTTTTCTTCCCTGTCGACCACTCGACCATGCTTTCCGACTTCCATTTTTGCACACCCCCCCCCCCCCTCAAAAGGATCAAGCTAAACAAGCAAGATAATCATGTTCGATGGTTAAATTTAGCCATTATTTAAAGGTCGAATTGTTTTGAGAGAAATTTTGAGTTAATAATTTATACTCATGTAGATGGAATAAACGTTACTTTAAATTAGTCCTAGAGAATTATTGGTTTCATACCTTCATATATACGACGGAATATATGTGAAATGTTATCAACTTCATGTAATTAAGGAGTGAATAAGACGTTATTTTTAAATTTTGGAAATTTAAATAGTATTATGATATACTTCGTATGAATCAATTCGTAATTTTGTATATGTTCCAAGTTTAGATGGTGCCGATTATTCAAGAGTTATAACCTTTGCTCCATCCACTCATCCTACAACCAAATAAGTGGTGGAAGTGGGATGAATATTTATGGTTTTATCAATTCTATGCTCCTACTTTCAATCCTATTGCTTCAAGTAGGCGAAGAAGAAACACTCCTTTTTGCTCAAAACTGGACTAGATCATGGCCTAGATCTCGAGCAGGAACTTGGTTTCAAATCTTCCTGCGTCCTCTCAATGGGATTGGATTAGTTCAATTCTGGTCCTCATTCTCAGTATTCTTCGTTGAAAATTTTGATCGTGAATTGGATAAAAAAGTGAAACGTGATCTAAATGCAATAAAGGTGAGCTCGAGTGGTCCAGAGTTTGGGGAGGGGGACTAGGATCCAAACATACCCTAATTATCCAAACAAAGTTTAAAGTTGGTTGCCTATAGGGTGAGCACGATCTGAGACGATGTGGTAAATTGTCAAAATTTGTGTTGTATCATGAATGAGTTGATACTGTCTACTTTTAGGATTGGTACAATATCATTTGCGTTTGATACGATGCAATACCACATCAATTCTTATATAAGGGGTGGGTGGATCTTTAAACTCGACATATTATTGGCCTTTCAAGAATTGCAATTCTATCTAGTACAATGTGCAGTATGTTTTAATATTCTAAATGAGTTTCATCTTTATTTATCCTAATAATATCATACCACCAAAAGGCAATATACACATATTAGAATTTACAATAAAACATATGACATCCAAAATAGAAGTAACGCTAGGGTAAAAATAAAAATGTTTAGTTAAATAAGAATTTTATTGGGGAAATTATGTATATAAGACCTAAAGGTATAAAACTTCCAAAACTAAGACTACTAATTGGAGTAAGATAAAAGTGGAACCACTTTGACTATTATACCCTCAATTACAAATGAGACAGCAGGCAACTTGAAGTCTTGAACAATTTTAAAACCCCGTCGTCTATGCACAGTAAAATTTGGCAAAGAACAGAGAAAGCCGCTGGGCTCAATGGAAACATTGCCGACTGAAAATATTCTTCAGGCCTCGAAATCGAAGCCTAAGAGGGCGGAGACTAATCAATTTGACTACGAAGAAAACTAACGAACAACATTTAGACGGCAAAGAGAAAGAAAAAATTGGAGTAGAAGAAAGTTGAAAATAGGAAGAAGCCTAGCAAAGACAACACGATAGTAACTTCAAAATGGTGAAGGGAAAGAAAATGCCAGAGACTGGATTGAAGGATTTCCAGAAAAGGGAAAAGAAAGAAACAAGTGTTAACATATGAGAAATATTATATCTAAGCCAGTCATTAATTTTAACACGAGTCAATAAATAGACAATGTGGAGACAATAAATATTTAGAGAAATAGTTGGCATTTGGAAATTGAATGTAAACAACAACAAATAAAAAATAACATACGTAAAGCTCAATAAATTCAACGAGAGTAAAATTATTGACAACAACATACTTTATCTTTGAGATGATCAACAATACTTAGCTTTTAGATATTTTGCCCATCACCTCAAACTCAAACGGAGTAGGAGGCTTAATCTAACACATACAACACACACAATAGAAGAAGAAATGTCATTTGAAACATACACTTCTCTATATGCATTTGTATATCAGTGTTCGATGATATCGGCAACTACATCTATTGTGTCTTGATGATTGGAGACCTTGTTTGACATTAAGAGAGCATAACGACCAAAATCAAACTTGCAAAATAATAGACATTAAGTAGTCAATAAACAGACAATAAGATCCGATAATAGCATTATAGCAGAACAGGTAACACAAACCAATATATATGCAATTAACTATTTCCATTAATGAAATTAAATCGAGAGGCCTTCGAGAATCTCCGATCTGGAATAAGGCGACATACGTGGTCACAACATCTGATTATAGAAGTCATGATGCCGAAGAAGTATTCTGATTTTGTGGTCGGGTCGGCAATGGGTTTGAAAGCTCTTGAAACCAGAGGGATGAGTGAGCCATTAGATCCCAACCGCAGCCCGCAAGGTCGCCGCCGAGAGACGTTGATATCAACGCTAAAACCAGGATGCGATGAGACGAAGAGATAGAGTAGCCTGGGAAGTTTTTTTTAATCTGGAATATCAAAATGAAGGGTAAAAAAGAAAAACAAAAATACAATTTCCTAAAACAGAGCTAATTGAATCCCACGCATGGGAAAAACATTACTCAGTCCTATTTTTGTAAAGTTGCTTTGATTTGATCTTATTTCAAGCAATTTTCTCAATTTTATTCTGGTGGAAAAAATATAAAAATATCAATTATATATAAATTTATATCAGTCCGATCCAGTACCATTCGATTCCCATTTCTGAATCGGCCTCATATCCATTTCAACCATAGGCTTTTAGTTCAGGATAAAAACATATAGAGCTTTTTAAAAACTCGTTAATTCATTCTGTACCATTACAACTTGGTGCTAGTTCGGTTTGGTTTTCATGCCCACTCCCAAGTCCCAATTCCTCACACATTCTCATGGCAAACTTAAATGGAGAAAATCTACAACTACATAGGAGAAAAAAATATGAAAAGTATACTTATAGCAGCAACAAGATGAATGCAGGTACACCTCTCACTGATGTCTGCAGCATGCAACCCAGTTCATTCCTATGTGCGCCGGGGAGGGAGAGATATGTAAGATGTGGCAACACAAAATAATACTCTGTTGAATTATTCGATTAATTGAATATTTTTTTTTAGCAAATTACTTCCTATGTGATTAATATTACGTCACATATCCTTATGTGATCAAAGTATAACTCACACGTACTATGACATATGAGTCATATGACTCGTTTCATTTCCTTTTTAAAATTGAGCTTATCATATTTTGCCGTTTTCTTTAATAAAATACGACTTTACACGAAATTACTTTTTTTCCCTACAACAAAAGGCGAAACGCCGTAGCTTGGTTAAGGCCATAGGGGCCCTTATTGTTCTCCATAACAATTCCAAGGTTTTGACATAAATAACCTCGAAGTGGTAAAAGTGGACAATTTGGCGATTTAATCTTTGTACTCGTCACTATGTAAGTATGGATTACCTTTTCAATTACATAGTTTACCGAACATTGAAATTTGCATTCGCTACAAGTTCATCTTCGCCAAGCAATGGATCTTCTGCTTTCTTTCTGTTCTCCCCGGTTTCAAAATATCATTTCCTCCAAACCAAACAACGTATAAGAATGGTTCACTGAAAATGGGAAAATTCAAATCCCAAAGATAATTGATTATTTTACTCTGCAGTTTTTACACTAAAATGTAGTACATATATGGGGGAAAAGATGGATATGATGGACATCAATCTCACAGTAGATACAAAAATGAGCGCATGCAAGACAACCGGACCTGAAAGGACACTGCCCCGATATGAACAGCGGACCTGTAAACCATTACTCCAAACTAACACGCCGCATTTTGCACACAAGATTGGCAGTAGGAAGATCAAGCTGATTTCCAGAATCAGATCTTACAAATTCCCTTAGCTGATTTCTCGGTGTTGAGAGACACAAATGAAAGGTGGAAAGAACAGGTGGGATGGGCATTGATAGTGCTGACAGCACGTTGCTTAGGTATTCAATGTCGACACACAGCTGCTGGGCTCCACGATCTGTGATATACTGTATGCCCCGCAATTGTTCCACATATAGACCGGTAGCGCCTTCTGCAACCTATTTTTATGGACACGGAAATAAGGTTATCAACTCTTTCCTCTAAATGAAAAAAATCGAGTTTTGATCCTATGACTGGTGATTCCTGCTTTTGGTACTCATTACTAATGATGGGCATTAGTAAGTTTTTTCATTTTTCAACCCACAAGGCCCCACAACTATAATTTTTACAGTTATGGTCCTTCTGGACACTTTTCTGGTGAAAATCAACTGAAAATTGCATGTAAATTAGCCAAAAAAGTTACTGGAAGGACCACAAGTGAAATAATCTATAGTCATGGGACGGAAAGTGTAAAATTGAAAGTTAGGTACCAAAAATAAGAATGGCCTAACAGTAGGGCCAAAATCAGAACCAATTGATACTAAATGCAGTATATAAATAAAGCTACTAGCCTACTACCATCCGTTCTCTTAAGTGCAGTATAACTGTAGAAGTGGTTTACTTAAATATTTAGAATGCTATAACTTTTATTTCAAGTTATGATATAATTACTACAAATATGATAGACTACCCTATAACCCTATTAGGTCGTGTTTGTTAGGGAGGGAAGCAATAGTGGCATGGTAATGTGATAAAAGAAAAAGAACAGAAATATGTCAGAAATGGAAAGAAATAAAAGTTGTATGGCTGAAAAGAAATACACTAGACGTCTAGAAATAGAATAAAATTATCTGAATTGAAGTGATTTGGTATATATAAAACCTTGAATGAATACAGAAGTGGTATTCACTTACACAATTGGGTGTCTTGTTTTTTCTACAATTTTTTCTTCAAAACTCTCAAAAGGGTTTTTGGAACTTCAATATTTTCCTTCAGCGATTATCTGAATTGAAGTGATTTGGTATATATAAACTATGTTGCACGGATACGGATACGCCGATACTCGGATACGCGGATACGGGTACGGCGATACGGCACTTTAAAAAATTATAGGATACGGGTACGGGGGTATATTTATAAATAATAAAAATATAGGGTATAATTTGCAAATATATACTTCCTCCGTTATTTTATAGTTGCAACAGTCAACCTTTGCACATTTGCCAACGCACACATTTGACCGTAAGTATATCTTAATCTCTATTAATAAAAAAATATTAAAAATCAGATTTTGAAAATTTGTAATGAGATCAATTGAAAAATGTTTTTTTTAAAAAATTATTTCCATAAAATAATAGTGTAAAATGTAGTCAAAGTAGATCATGTGAATAGTGCAAAAAGTCAACATGTTGCAACTAAAAAGAGACGGAGGATAGTATAATTCAGGGGTTCATAAATAAAATAATAATAGTACAAAAAATTAACTATTATAATAAAGTTTCAAAGATTAGTCTAAAAAAACTAAAGTATTGATATTTTGATTTAAATTCAAAATAACATTTTTTTGTTCTCTATTTGCATTTACATCTAAGTCTTGTTTCAATTAAAACTCATCAAACAATGAAATGACAAATTATAGTATTCCATTATTTTCCATACTCCCAAAATCATCTTTATCAATGTTCCACATGTTGTGGTCGCTTGGGCGGCTACTGAATTTTCGTCATGTCGTGTATCAAATGAGGGGTTATAGGTTCGGATACGCGTATCGGTTCACGGATACGGGTATCGGAAGTATCGATATTTTTAAAATTAAGCCCCATACTTTTATCAAATTACGGATACGGACCCAATACGTACAGGACGCGTATCGGTGAGTATCGGATACGGATACGTATCGGATACGCGGATACGGCATCGAGGTGAAGTATCGGTGCAACATAGTATATAAAACCTTGAATGAATACAGAAGTGGTATTCACTTACACAATTGGGTGTCTTGTTTTTTCTACAATTTTTTCTTCAAAACTCTCAAAAGTTGAAAGGGTTTTTGAAACTTCAATATTTTCCTTTAGCCAGCCTGGGGTCTTCACAGATGCAATCTCTCTACTCCTAGAGGTAGAGGTAAGTTCGACATACATTTCAATCTCCCCAGAACCTACTTCCGAGTGGAACTTACTCGGTCTGCATGGTTTGGTTACTTTCAGTCCTAGTAATGGCACACAGCCTGATGAACTTATCTTCACTTCCTCTGATTTTAGCATGAAAATACTTCGGTGTGACTGCGTGGGGCTCATAATTTTTCAAAAAAAAAAAACCATTTTCACTCTACCAAACTATATACAGAGTAAATGATTTGGAAAGTGGAATTACCTTACCTTTTTTATTTGTTTTCCAAACACGGCCATAAGGCCATAATGTTTTAAGTACTACTCTCTGCATTTATCATTTATGGATGGAAAAGAGTTACTGTGGAAAGACTTGTTTGGTTGGGGAATTTTGGAGAATAAGTTTTTTTGTTAGTCTTGTACTGGGTATTAAACAATATCTATATATTTAGTTAAATCATGTACATTCGTATGATTGTTTATCTTCACTTTCTTCCCAGCCATCCTTGCGTTAGAATACATTAATGAAGTAAATATCAATCACAAGTTCACAACTCCCTTTCTGTTCCCATTGATATCTCCTAACCAAGTGCTAAAGTGTCTGTTATTAAAGATCAGAGGTAGAGTAAGATTGAGTTACCTTAAACATCCATTCAGTGGCAAAATACTGAGCCTCATCAGCATTGGTAGCATCAGAGTTGGAAATTCCATCTGCAAGTGGCTCTAGTTGTTGGGGCAACGTAAGCAGATATTCACCAACGTTAGTAACATAAGATTGGGGATATGCACTGAATGTTGGGAGGGGACGAGCACTATGTTCTTCAACAGAAGACCATACAGGCAACCGAGATATATCATTCAAGTGCAGCCGTACTTTTGATACAAGCACATCATAAACAAGCTCATTAACAGCGTCAGCAAAAGCTGTAACTCGTTGAGAAGCAACTGGAAGCGCATGAAACCGGGGATCCTTAGACTACAACAATTACCAAAATGATAATTTAAATATTAATCATGAACTTAATATAAGCAACATACATAGAAAAAAGTAAAAGCATTGACCACGAGGCTCCCAGATCTAACGGAAATGAAAGGACTTCAAGAAATGATGTTATATAAAACAAGCATGGTTTGAGTTCGGCTAGTTTATGCTCGAGCTTGGATCCTTTGATTGAGAAAATGAGCCGAGCTCTAGCTCAGTTTGATACTTGATTTATAAATGCATGCAGATGAATAAAGTAAGTATTATATAGCACCAAATAACCGCATAGAGAGTGAGTACCTGCTCCAATAGATTAAGAAGTTTCCGAGCTTTTTCAGGAATACCAACAAGCCTCACTGCTGCCACATCCAAAGCAGCACGTCCTGTTACAGACACCTGTCCACTCCCGTCATCATGTGAGTGGTTCTGATCAAGACTTGAACCGAATACTGAAAAAGACAAATTAGTACTCAATCTAGCCAGGGTAGCCTTGAGGGAAGCTTCAAAGACTGATGATCTGCTGCTCAAACACTCAGCAACCGTGAGAATCTGCAATGCGCCTTGGACGAATGACCACTCTTCCTCATTTGATGTGAAGTCCGCCTTACGCGAGTTGGAAGCTCCTTCCCCCCTCCTGTTATCGGATCCGATTTCTTTCCTTGAACCATAAGAAGCATCAAAATCCAAACCACACACTGTTCTTAGAGATTTCAAATTTTCCTGCATGGTGGAAATGTATTGTAGCATGACATCATCCAATGCAAGGATGAGTTCATCTGCCTCAGAACCGCCAGTGAAATTGATGCATCTCTCTACAGCAGCTTCTAGAAGTAGAATCACTTGTGGGATTGACTCTTCCATCCTCCGAACTGTTTCACTAAGTTCAACTCCCTGGACTCCTACAAGAGTTATGGCAGCTCCTCTTAGGTCAAGTCCTGCAATCTCACCAGAGAGAATGGCACGCTCCATTTGCCCGTACCTATCAACAGATCAATGAGGCAGAAAGTCAGTAAAAAAGAATTGCATGATGTATATTTAAAGATCCATACCAAGGGTGTGGTAATGTTAAAAGATTATCTAAGGTCAAATCATCAATTCAGCTTCTATTTTTCTTTGTAATATAGCAAAATAAATAATACCAAGGCCGAGCCTACAGAGACCCATTTCTTAATAAGAAAGAATTGTTTTCTACCGAACAAGAGAAATTAAATCACACGGGAATAACAAAGGAAAATTTATTCCAATCCTGGGAGCAACCAAGTGAACAACCTGTAACTGATGAAACTAGTTAAAAAAAGCATTTAAAGATTTAATACTTGCAAGGTTAAAGACATAGATGTAGCAATCTTGAGATAAAAATATTAATCACAATATATTAATTGAAGCCTAAATTCATTATCAGAAGCACGCCTAAATCTTTCACAAAATTTCTATAAGTATATTCTAATTTAGATCAAACAGTAAAATTTAGATCAAACAGTAAATAAATAGACTGGGATTAACATTACAACTTAGGGATATAATATTAGGGAGACTTCCCTACATAGGAATCAAACATATCACATGTGTTTTCCCTGAACAGGTGTACTATGTTATTTTTCTCTAAATAAGAGTAAAGTAATGACATCCTGAAACCATACTGCCATAGTATAGGGATATGGTTTTAGGAATGACAGTATTCACCCTATTAGGGAGGAAACCTTGGTATCCTGTTTGGGAAAACACACACATCTTTTACTCCTAATTAGGGTAAATTCTGATAATATTATAGCATGGATGGATAACTTCCTATTTAGCAAAATCTTCTTAAATTGGCTAAATTACAGAGGAATTTAATTTAAAGATGTTGTCTTAATAGGAGAAAAACAGATGATTTCCCTAAGTATTAGTACTATGTTTTCCCCCTAAATAGGAGTAAGTATTGTCATGCTGAAAGGTACTGTCAAATTATGTTAATACTTCCACATTAATGCCATAACATGACAGTATAATTCAAGATGACAATACTTTACTCTTCAACAACAACAACATCCAAGCCTTAGTCCCAAAAGAGTTTGGGGTTGGCTAACATGAATCGACATACGAAACAGAGTTAAGCACTGTACTCTTATTTAGAGAGAAAAACATTGTACTCCTATTTAGAAAAAGACCTTGTTTGTACTCCTGATTGGGGAAATTTCCCTTTAATTGGGAGTCAATAAAGCAACCCACTAACTATAAGCAACTAGCACATTCATCCAAGTATACATTCTGAAGATCATCATTTTACCATGTCACAATCAATAAAAGACTGAAAAGGTAAATGATTATCACCAACACTGTACAAAGACTTCATACTAATTACTAAGGTAAGGTAATCCAAACTTCCCTCTATGACAGCATTCCCTTTATCCTTCCCATGGAAAAGGTCTGGCAGAGCAGGTCCAATAAAAAGCAGGGGTAGAAAGAACTGCTTTATTACCTTTTATTTTTTGAGTTAATTTAAAAACTTTAATAGAATACTTTCAGTTTGGTAGACTAAAAAACTGCCAAATCAGGGTTCAGAAAAGAATGCTTTAAGGATACTATGGGCGTTTAATTACAATTTTACTTCACATATGCTCACCGTCGTTTGAATGATTCAAAAGGATGATATACAGCCTTCAAAGCATCCAACATAACTTGAAGGTCTGTTTCTGAGAATAGGTGTTGGATATTCCTCGCAAAACTCCCTGTTGTATTGTGAAGCTCAATTAGGGCATCCAAATGCTTTGTCTGAACCTTGACACCTTTCGACAAATCTCCAGTTGAGATGTCTACGATACCTGCAAATTTGAGAAATCTGAGCAAAGATTTAAGATGCTCTGCAGATATCGTTCAAGTACGATGTACTATGGAAGATAAACTAGATATGACAGATATTTATCTCTCTTTTAATAAGGTCGTCGTATGTACATGAAGTTTTTGTTTAAAACCCCATACTTCTTTTAGACACCCATACGGGCATGACCAAATTTATTTGCATAGAAAAGTGATTCATGTAAACCATCAATCATGAATTCAAGATATATAATCACATAAACAATAGAAAAATACAAACATTTCCTTACAAAGTGACAGTCCCATGCAAATGAAGTTTTTATTTAAAACCCCATACTTCTTTTAGACAGCCATACTGGCATAACCAAATTTATTTGCAAATATTAAATTGATTCATATAAACCATCAATCATGAATTCAAGATATATAATCACATACACAATAGAAAAATACAGACATTTCCTTACAAAGTGACAGCCCCATGCAAATAATTTATGAAACCCCCTTGTCTCTTTTTCAGTGATACTTTCTCGTTTGGGTTATTCTAATATGGTAAACACACTGAAACTGTCATAATGAAATTTTCTCTCAAAGTTTCACACCATCCAAATTCCTAAGTAATGACTGAACACAAGTAAATATTTACTGAGCAACTTTTTGTTACTTGAAATCTCACAGTTTCACCAAACTTTTTTTCACAATTTCACGCCATCCGAAGTTTTTGACATGGTACATGCTAAAAAGTATTCAACATATGATAGAAAAGGCAAGGCTGCCGCACAATTGACACATACATCAATAGGAAAGAAGATTACGGACAACTCCGAAAGAGTACCATAAATAACCTTTGGCAAATGTTCTAGTCTCAGGGACAGCCTCCCCAGCAGCTAGATTGATAGATGATACAAAACTTGCACCAATGGTTGACATCGTTTCAATTAGTAGATTTGGAACAAGAGTTCTATATTCTTCTGGAAAAGCAAGCATGCACCTGCAGAAGAGGGTAAAAAAAGATTTGATTTACTCTAACATAAAATTGCAACCTTCAACATAACTGTATTAAAAAAAATGAATTTGAAATATATCCACACTTGGCACACACAAATCTGAATGTTTGCTAAAAAGAAAATTGAATCATACCATTTCCATTCCTGTTCAAGATATAGCAGCAATTCATCATAGAAACTGGGCAGCCAACGTGAAAAGGTAGTAGTTGACGAATTCAATTGTAGATTATGAGCACGTGATGTCCTTTCTATCTCAATCTTTTCATTTGAAACCTTATTTGCCTGTTGCGTTAACTCAAAATCCTCCCAAAGTTGTTTTATAGGCTTGAGGTGGACCTTTGAGTATTGCAATTCTAATGACTTGAATCTCCCAATTCTTTTGAGAATTCCCCTCATTTCTTGAGCAACATCAACCTAGGAAAAAAAACTTACATTCAAAATTCCTTTTTTAAGTGTCTATAGAGATACAAGCATTCAAATGGATAGGGAGTGAAAATATTATACTAGAAGGAAGAGGGAAAATGTGATATCATACTAACCTTCCTATTGCTTAAGGCATCTATCAAGCGAGGTTGCACCATCGAGTCCAGCCTATCCTCTAAGACTTCAAGCTGCTTCCTTATATTAGCAAATTCTGCAACCTGAAATTTTGCAACTATTGCTACAGCATCTGGAGCCCAATAAAACATGACTTAAGACAAAGAAAGACAGCCAGTTAAAGGTGTACCTCACCAACGGCAGACAAGCAGTGCCTCATGTTTGCCAAAGTTTCTGCAGCACGAGGAAGATCACCGCTTGAGAATACATCCTCCACAGTTGAGCTTAGTTGAGCCAAACCGGCTGCATCCTGTCCATTAGCAGATGTAGTATTTACAATTTCGTAAGAGCAACTTCATGAAGAAGTCACATAACAGGGTGTAAGATTTAGAACCAGACCGTACACGGTACTATTTAAGCACTCAATTATACAAAAAACATGTAAAGAAGACTAAATGCAGAGTGTGGCACCTGCAATGTCTCATAGGCAGCTTCCATTCTTCGCTTGACAGTATCGACTTTTGCAAGTGTAGCTATTGACTCTGCAGATGATCCCTCTGCCTATGATAGGAATACAGTATGAAGAAGAGTAACCATATGCTCTACATTAGCTACAACGTGTAAAGACTATTGATGCAGCAGGTGAAATTAGGAAACAAATGTCAAATGCAAAGTACAAAACATGCATACGATGATTATCATAAGTATATTATATATGCACTACAATATGGGACATGTTACACAGATGCACCCAATTGATGGCTACTTATTTCCAAAATATTACTTTCGTATTGATTTTTTAGCACACCACATCCGAAGCTTTTGTTTGAAACTGAAAATGATTCCAGTAGTATAAACTAGAAACAAGGAAGAGTAAACTACCTTTTTGAGTTTCTGGATGATAGAAGCGACTGAGGAGCGGAGGGAGAGGGCGTCATCGCGGAGGCGGATAACGTCCCGTGTGGCACGAGGGACGCGGTGAAGAGAAGAGGCGCTGAGCTCCTCAAGTGCGACGGCGATCTCCTCAGAGACCATCTGGAGCTTCATTTCCAGATCCACCAGGTGCTTGTCCAGCGGGTCCTGCGGGTGCCGCGACTGACACGCATCGTTTATCCATTGCTTGGGGTCGAATCTCTCGTCAGAGAAGGAGCTCAGATCCACCATCATCTTCGCCGCCGGATCGACAACAGCATTGGCCAGTCAACTCTTCAGTGTCTTCTGATGGCCGTTAAACAGAGCAGTTGCTTTGCGGGTGTGTACCCAGTGATAACCGATGAACGACCCTTTGTTGAACTTTCTTGCTCCGGAGTCCGACCCATAAGGTACAGTAAATCTTTCATTCGTTTCATCCAGCAAACTACACTTTTTTCTATTCATTTTGTGTGCCAAATACTCGTACTTCGTATTTAACAAAGTTTTCAAAAAAAAAAAATTTGCATATTCAATTGAAATTGAGCTTTTGTAAGTATGCATTTTAGTTTAACTTAGCTAGATCTGGACCAAAAAAATTTCAGCCGAATATGAATATGGAATTTATAATTCCGTCCGTACTCGATCCAATAACAGGTCAAACATTGTTTGGAATCGGACCGGATTAATTTATAGCGATTTTGGGCCTGGGATCGTACCGTCCAGCGTCCGCCCTAATAAAGTGGTTCACAATTTCAGTTTACATTTTTGGGACTGAACCATGTGATTCGGATCCAGACCCGAATGTGTTTTTTTTACTCAATTCGACCATAAAAGTAAAAAAAATTAACGGGAAACAGGTCTCGAGACGACGAGACCGATCCTGACTCGAAAAAAAACGGTTCGGACTCGGATCCAAGCAAGTTTTTTTGAACCTGGGTCCATTCCTGGTCCCAACTTAACAACTCATAACGCATCACAAATGGACTTGCATAAGTTCTCCCTTTCTACTCGTCCGTCTCTTTTCGTAGTCATCTTTTTGTCTTTAGTCCACTAATGGTAACTTGGAATCTTTGAATCAACCACCGAGAAAACATTCCTTTCTTTCTTCTCTTATGTACACGAAGTATAAAGTTGGAGCAATAATAATAAATCCTTCCTTAAAGGCCTTATATCAATTCCATTAATTTTTTCCCTCTTTGGCTTTTAGAATGAGCACTGAAGAGCTATTGACCATCACCCACTTCGAGCTCAAGTTCCCATGTAAGCATATTTATAGCTTTAATTTTACGAAACCCAGTTGTTGAGGTTTTCTATTTCAGCACCTTATCTGTGTATCCCTTTTTAACTATGTTTTCTTCTTCTTTGAAATAGTTGAGCTTAGAAAACCAATCTCATGTTCATTTGAGTTGCTTAACAGAACAGATAATCACGCTGCCTTCAAGGTATGCTCTCTGTATGGAATTGGTTTTTATTATGATGTTGAGGTGGTGATACTACTCTTGTAATCTGCACATTTGCATTTCAGTTTTGGTAAAATGTTGTGCTTATGAGTTTTGATTATAGGTTAAGACAACTAATCCAAGGAAGTATACTGTAAGGCCAAACTATGGCATCGTCCTACCTAGATCGCGGTGTAATGTCACAGGTGAGTTCTAGTAAAGGAAGTTAATTAGCTGAAATGGTTGAATCTGATAAAACTAATATTAAGTGAAGATGGAGAAATAAAGCTCACTGAGAGCATGACTTTAAACGCACGAGAATGATTCAGAGAATAACTCTTCTCTCTCATATTTTTTTTTCTATACACACCATACGTATGTCTATTTATAATACAAGGAAGGAACATTGTTCCTATTACATGGGCCATGCACTTAAATGCAATAATATAGGCTAAGAAAATATATAATGTAAACCAATATTAAATTATTCCAATATTAAAATATCACATGTTCCAATACTCCCCCTCAAGATGGAGTGTGAAGGTTACGAACACCCAACTTGCTTCGAAGAAACTGAAAACGTTCTGCTCCAAGTGCTTTGGTAAATATATCAGCCACCTGATTGGCTGTGGAGATGGATAGTGGTTGGATTTCATCTGTGGCAGCTCTTTCACGTACAAAAAAGCAATCTATCTCAACATGCTTAGTACGCTCATGGAAAACTGGATTGAGCGCAATATGTCGAGCAGCTTGATTATCACAATAAAGGGGTGTGGGACCCTTCTGAGGAACTGTGAGATCTCTGAGCAACCATCGTAGCCACAAAATTTCACTAACTGTAACCGCCATGGCACGGTATTCTGCTTCAGCGGAAGAGCGAGAGACAACCGACTGTTTCTTTGTTCGCCAAGAGATAGGTGAGTGCCCAAGGGTGATGAAGTAACCGGTGCTAGATCGGCGGGTAAACGAGCATCCTGCCCAATCGGCATCACAATAACCTTTTAATGTGGAATCATTCTCCGATGAGAGAAATATGCCTTGGCCAGGTGTTTGTTTCAAATAGCGGAGAACCCGTATGGCCGCATCAAGGTGGGTTTGACGTGGATTGCTGAGAAATTGACTGAGTTGACTAACAGAGTAAACAATATCCGGACGAGTCACTGTAAGATACAACAAACGCCCAATAAGACGGCGGTAGGAAGATGCATCTACTGGCGGGCTACCATCATTTGGACGAAGTTTTAAATTCTGTTCCATAGGAAACGAACAAGGACGTCCTGCAAGAAGTCCACTCTCTTCCAAAATATCAAGAGTATACTTGCGTTGGCTCAAGACAAAACCCTCAGGAGAGCGAGCAACTTCAATACCGAGAAAATATTTTAATTTACCCAAGTCTTTAATGCTAAATGCGGTATCCAAGTACCCTTTTACTTCGTTAATATGGGTGATGTCATTTCCGGCTAGAATAACATCATCCACATAAATAAGAGCAAATGTAGTAATGGAGTTCTGTCGGAAGATGAACAATGAGTGGTCTGCTTGGGATTGACAAAATCCAATTTTAGTAAGAGCTTGAGTGAACTTATGGTACCAATTACGAGAGGCCTGACGTAATCCATATAAAGATTTGTGTAATTTGCAAACACGGGTGTCACCGCCTTTCGTAAATCCCTGGGGAATACGCATGTACACATCCTCTGAAAGATCTCCATGTAGAAATGCATTATTAACATCCAGTTGATGTACCACCCAATTTTGCTTGACTGCAACTGCTAATAGACACCGCACAGTAACAAGTTTAGCAACCGGCGCAAAAGTTTCATGAAAGTCAACTCCCTCTACCTGTGTAAAACCCTTGGCAACGAGTCTAGCTTTATAACGTTCCACCTCCCCATTAGGTTTATATTTTATTTTATAAACCCATTTAGAGTCAACCACTCTTTTGTGAGGAGGTAACTCGACCAATGTCCATGTTCCATTTTCTTCCAATGCTTTGACTTCCTTTTGCATGGCTTCTCTCCACAGAGGATCCTGTACAGCTTGTGAAAAATATTTGGGCTCATCACGTGAGGTGATGGCCGCTAGAAAAGCTTTATGTGAGGAGGAAAATTTTTCATAACTGATAAAGTCAGAAAGAGGATATACCGTTGAGTTAACTGAACTGGCGGTGGGCCGTGAATGATCAAGTGAAGGGGGTAAGTCAGTCTCAAAATTATCCAAATGCTTCGGCAGTCTTCGAGTCCTATCACTCCTTTTTTGATGAATGGGAGGTTCAATGCATGATGATGGAGTGGGACCCACATCATTTGTTCTTTGTCCACAAATGTCAAAGTTAGTGGGCAGATTTCCAAATTGGATGGTAGCATCAGTACGCAGCTCATTAACTTTCCTTTTAAATGTGGGTCCATTAGGAGATAATAATTCACATGTGGAGTTTTCAGGGGGCTGCTGCTGTTCACTATTATTATTATATGTGGGAAGCTTCTCGTGAGGTGGAAGTAGGACCGTACTAGGCAGCAGGTTGTCCTTTTCTTTTGATGTGTGGTCAAGGCATGCTGCACCACGTGAAGGACCAGCGGTAGACATATGTTGTAGCTGATCAACGTGGGACGTATATGGCTGCTCATCACATGATAAATCAGGCTCCAAGCTGGCCGCCGCAGCTGGTGTGGGGCTGCAATCGTCCTGCTCAGATGAAGGTTGTTCGAGTATAGCCATCGGACGAAGTACAATGCAACTAGGTGAGCTGTTATGTGGCTGTGTCGTAGGGCACTCAGGGCACAAAATTTGATTGTAAACTTTGTTGATAAGTGAGGAAAAATCAAGTTCTTGATCCAAACCAATTTTGAAAGGAAATTTTTCTTCATAAAAAGTCACATCTCGAGAGTGATAAACAGTGTGTTTTTGTAAATCAAAAACTCGATATGCCTTCTGACCATACGGATAGCCTATAAATACACAAGGACTTCCTCTTTCACCAAATTTATCCTTTCGTTTGTTATCATGTGCATATACTAAACATCCAAATACACGCAAATGATCATAACTAGGCACTTTCCCAAATAGCATTTCAAAAGGACTTTTGTTAGAAATAATGGGTGATGGAAGCCTATTAATGATGTAAACAGCAGTCAAAATACATTCTCCCCAAAAATCAATAGGTAACCCAGACTGAAAACGTAGTGCCCTTGCAACCTCCAATATGTGTCTATGCTTACGTTCCACAACTCCATTTTGTTGTGGTGTGTATGTGCATGATGTTTCTAATAAAATTCCAGCCCGTCCATAATAATCAAATAAGTTGTTGGTTTGAAATTCTAAACCATTATCTGCCCGTATTCGTTTCACCTTCTGCTCAAATTGGGTCTCAACCATATTGCAGAATTGAATTAAAAATTGGGATACTTCAGATTTATTTTTCATTAAATAAACCCACACACCTCTAGTAAAGTCATCAACAATAGATAGAAAATACCGTGCTCCAGAGAGTGAATCACATCTATAGCCTCCCCATATGTCACAATGTATCAATTCAAAACAGCGAGTTGTCTTAATGGAGCTTGTAGGAAATGGCAGTCTAGTCTGCTTAGCACGGATGCATGGATCACAAAAATTATCACTCCGTCGAAAACCCTTGAGAGAATTAATATGATGTAATTTTCCATCAGATGCATGTCCCAACCGTTGATGCCATATATCTGAACTAATAGAGACTGACATTGCCACCCTTTCACTTTCTTGAGATTCCAAGTAATAAAGACCATCACGAAATTTACCCACGCCAATCAGCTTCCTCGTTGGTACGTCCTGCAGAATACAGAAGTCTGGGAAAAATGTCAGAGTACAATTTAGATCACTTGTTAAGCGACTAGCTGAAAGTAAATTGCATTGAAATTTTGGAATATATAGAACACGTTCAAGACAGAGCCCATTGGGTAAATATAAACTTCCGACAGCATGAATCGGAATTGATTCGCCGTTAGGAATTGTGACTGAGGATTCCGACACATGATTGATGATATTGAAAAGATTAGTATCACTACAAGTGATATGTTCAGTAGCTCCAGAATCAATTATCCAAGGACGAGAATGTGGCAATGTATATGCCATATTTACTTGGGCACAAGAAATACAACCCAAAGCTTCATAGCTGAGTTTATTGATAGAATCACCTACTGCCATAGTGAGAAAAAAACAAGAGAGCGAAAAACTAGAATTTATGTTTCCAGAATTTCGGCTCTGATACCATGATAAAACTAATATTAAGTGAAGATGGAGAAATAAAGCTCACTGAGAGCATGACTTTAAACGCACGAGAATGATTCAGAGAATAACTCTTCTCTCTCATATTTTTTTTTCTATACACACCATACGTATGTCTATTTATAATACAAGGAAGGAACATTGTTCCTATTACATGGGCCATGCACTTAAATGCAATAATATAGGCTAAGAAAATATATAATGTAAACCAATATTAAATTATTCCAATATTAAAATATCACATGTTCCAATAGAATCTGGTGAAATATCTGAAGGAGTTTGATGCTATGGTAATTCTATTTCAGCCAAATGAGCAGAATAAGCCGACTATGGTTACCAAATAAAGCACTAATCGTTTTATGTACAGTTTTTTGGGTTTTGCCTTTGGTTGATTTTGTTAATCAATGGTTTTAGTTACAATGCAAGCTCAAAGTGAGGCACCGCTCGATATGCAAAGCAAAGACAAATTTCTTGTACAGTGTGTGATTACTCACCCTGGTGCGGCACCTAAAGATATCTGCCAAGAGATGGTAAAAATCTCTTTGCAAATGTAGACTTTCTTTGGTAGCCATATCTGGTTTATTCTGTTTATTAGCAGAATAAGCAGCTTGTGGCCTACTTTTTATGGCTGAAGTAGATGTCACCAAACGATTTTCCATTCTGAAACTTGAGCAGATCCAGCCATTTCGGCCAAACTACCCTTGTCAAACGGTGTGACAAGATTTGCACTCAGGGGCAGAGGGGGGCTAGGCTTTTTTTGTAATATATAAGAAGTACTAAAAAAACATGTCGCTCCTGAACTTCCATTTTGTCTACGCCCTTGTTTGCACTCTTATAAACATGTCGGACTTGTGTGGAATTCTCGGTTTGTATTTTCTGTGCAGTTTAATAAGGAGGTGGGAAAGTATGTACAAGAATGCAAATTGAAAGTTGTGTATGTTACGCCACAAAGACCACCATCCCCAGTCCCAGAAGAACCTGAAGAAGTGAATTCACCACCTATCACTTCTAAACCGGAAAAGATGACTCATAACGAGTACTCTGCAGTGAGTTTTCCATTCTGGTTCTTTATGGTGTGATGCACCATTAAATTAAGCTGCATCTTGTTTTATTGAGATATACTGTTCGGAATTTGTAGTAACTATATGGTTTGATAGATTATGCTGAAACATATATCTGAATTAAGGCACGCTTTCATGCTTTATCATATCAATCATTACCTGTATTGTTGTCTTATTCGCGAACACACTTAAAAATCAGAAATGATTATGTTTATGTGTTTTAAGACTACCCTTGTCTCAAGACACCTTTTTAACTGCCTTTTTTATTATCTTGATTACTTTCTTTCATTTTGTATGAAATTTGAATTCAGCCTAGGGTTCAAATTTTGAAATTAGTGGAAGAGCGGGATACTATTATTCAGAAAAATGGCAAACTGCGACGAGAGTTGGTACGTTACGTGCAGTTGCTTTTCCTTTTTTCATTGATCTGTTTACCTTCTAAAGCTCGCGCAAATAGTTGCAAGATTTCTGTGTAATACTCTTCTGGGAAAAGGTAGTACTTTTGAACATATATTGAAGTATTAATTTGTTTGAAGAGTAATGTGTATTCCTGGTAAAATATCAACAGTCATGGAGAGCGTTTCTATTGATAGAGTTTTCACATGTGCCCATTGAAATAATTCTGGCTTTTCCATTCTGTTTTCGCTCTACTCTATTCATAAACCTATTTGTTCCGTTCACAGGCAATATTTTGTTTGTGCAAAATTTGCACGGATTCACAAAAAAAAACATTCACAAACATAGGTGAGTATAAAGTGGGTATAAGAGTGGGTACATCAAGCATTTTTGTAAAAAGCCTTGTGGAATTTCATGCATCTTTGTGGCACTCGTGTTGAACATTATTGCAGGTGTGCTAGCTATCTTAGGCTCTCTTTGGTAGCTTGGTTCGGCTTATTCTGCTTAGCAGGATAAACAAGATAGTTGCTTTTTAGTGTTTACTTATTCGGCTTAAATGAAACTTACCAAATTCTTTTCTGTCCAAAATATTAGTAGATTCAGTCAATTAAGTCTTATCAACAGGCTTTGGAGGCATGCCCCTTGCCCCCTCCAGGTCGAAAGTGCATCTATTTTACAACTAACAGTTTGATACAAGATACTCCGTATTTCTTATAGTTTTGTACGTGCAAGCCTCCTATTTTTAGTATATCACTATGTTCTCATTACTTATAGATATTGAAGTATAATGTGCCCCCTTGAGCATGATTTCTGTTATGAGCCACTGGCTTAAAAACTTAACATTACAGTAGACGGATTAAGATGATTGATGAAATTATTTTCTAATGGAATTATGCAGGAATCTTTGAAGCGAAGAGATCCACAAAAGCGTGCAACGGTTCCCATTCTGTATGCTTTTCTGGTAGGTTTGATTGGCATTCTAATGGGATGCTGTTCTTCTTAAGAAAGTACTTGTCAAGTCAAAGGGGGCTGGTTTTGATTTGACGTGAAATTTTGGTTTTGACCCTTCCCTAGCAATATGTACATCTTGAGACCGGTTGCATCGTAACCGTATGTGTGAAAAATGAAAATTTATACGTAGTACTACTACTTTCACTTGTGTGCAATCTTGTAAAGAAGATAGAGGAACGTGCTAAAATGGGTGTCTAGCATGAGGATTCAATGAATCATCCCCCCCCATTCACCTGGTGGAAAAGAAAATCAAGAAAAGCAGCTGACCTAGGATAAAAAAAATTACTACGCACGGAGTATAATATTATTACTGTCATTTTATTTGTTATTCCATTGTCCAAGGGCGTAGCTAGCCGCGACTCTATATCGCACGGCTGGGGGCATTTTTGTAAATTAAGTGAAATCATAGTTTCGTTAAATGAGCATTAATGTACGTATTGTGAGTATCTAATACGTAGTATATTCTAGTGAGTATTGAGAGTGTAATAATGAACGTGATATCGGTTTCATATGTTATAATTCAGGGATAATTTGAATTTACACCCCATTTTATCGTCCAAATTAGACTTTGCATCCCCTTTTTTAAAAAGGGAAAACTGTCAAATAAGTCTATATACTATTTCGAAAAAGTCAATTGAGTTCACGTACAATAAAATGAATCAATTAAGTTCACTAACTGTTAAAATTTAGTCAATTAGGCTTTTTAGCCGGTGGTGGACGAGAAAAACCGGTAGTTGCTGATGTGGAGGTACATGTGGCCTTTTTTCTCTTCTTCTTTTTAAATTTCTTTATTATCCCGTGTTTCTCTTCCCTCTTCATGTACTTGACCTACAATGGCTTCTTTCTTCTTTCTTTTCCATTTCTTTTCCCGTTTTTTTCTCTTCCCAGTTTCTTACTTTCGTTCTCTTCCCTCTTCCATGGACTTAGCACTGGCTTCTTTCTTTCTTTTCCATTTTGTTACCTTTTCTTTCCCGATTTATTTCTCTTCCCCTGTTTTCCTTTCCCGTGCCGCCGCTGTCCGCCGTCGGTTTCGTAGATGGAAGATCTCTTCGATTTCGTAGGACGCAATCCAGGTTCCATCGGACAAGAATGGAAAGGAAGGAACCAGCGAATTAACAAGAAAGAGAAGGGAAAAGGGAGGGGGAGAAAAGAAAGGGAAGTGCCGCATGGTGACTGGTGAGAGAGGGGGAAGGGAGGAGGATGAAAAAGACAAAAAGGAAAAGGAAGGGGGAGTGTTGCAGGGAGAGAAGGAAAAGAAAAATGGAAGGAGGGAGGTCTGTACATGCCGCAGGGAGAGACGGAAAGATGGAGTAGACAGAAAAAGACAAGAAGAAAAAGAGGGGAAAAGAAAGGGGGAAGCAGGGGTTGTCACGAACCAGAGAAAGAGGGAAATAATAAAGACAAAAGAAAGGAAAAAAATGAAAACGATTAAAAAATGTCTAGGTGGCCTCCACTTCATCAATGTAACTGGTTGGTAACCGCTTAAATGGAAAGATTGGTTAAAATTTAAGAGTTAGAAGACTTAATTGATGGAGTAAAAATTACATGGACTCAATTGACTTTTTCGCAATAGTATGTGGACTTATTTGACACTTTTCCCTTTTAAATTTTTTTGTTTTTGCACCTCAACCCCATATGAAAAGACAAAAATGTCCTCGATCAAGAATATGTTGGAGGCCAACAAAATTGTCAATGGAGGAGCATTTTTATCTTTTGCTATAGGGTTGGGGTGCAAAATCAAAGATTTTTAAAAACGGGGTACAAAGTCCAATTTGGACAATAAAATGGGGTGCAAACTCAAATTATCCCTATAATTCACTTTGCTTTTTTTTGTTTTTTAAAATATCAATGATGAACCCGTATGAATCCAATATGTGAATTTAACGTAACATTATACTTTTGAAAGATGCACGGATATGACGTTTTAAAATGAGTATTACAAAAATATCAAATGAATATATATAAATTATGAAATGAGCATAAAAATTTTCAAAAAACTCATTTAGAATCTCTATTATGCTCAACTTATCATTTGTGTACTTCATTTAAATTCTCTAGTATGCTAAAAAAAATTATTTGTGTATGCTCATTTGTTTTTTCTAATATGCTCAAATATTCATTTATGTATGTTCAATTCTTTTAATCTTTATGCACATTTATTATTAATATTTAATAGTATGCTCATTTTTAACTTTTAAATAAATGGGTGTTCCCAAAAAAAAAAGTAAATATGGTGATGGCAGAAATGGTAGACTGTGGAATCACCTTCAAGTCGTCCATTATCAGGTAGCAAGCCCCCTCTTGAACTCGCCTGTGCGGTTCATATCATGACCGGCTGCGGCAGATTGTGCCGCCGTGGGATTGACTGGAGTGACATAACTTATCTTTCTGTCCAAGGTATGCCTACAGTTGGGACAAGACAAGTCATTTTGTTGGTGTCGGAGCAGCAGTTGTAGCAGCTATTCACAGGTAGAATGACATTGTCTCATCATCATCGGCCAAGAGGAGCGTTATGTTGTTGCTGGAGGAAGAAAGGGATTAATTGTAATTAATTGCGAAAATATTCGGTTGTGCGGTGAGCATCATACAACCGGTGTACGATATAATTGGTGGGCACTGGTTGGGTTACTTGGGTAGGGTAGGGTAACCTTAATACCTTATAATAAAAGGAATTGCCGGTTCCATTGACCAGGTAGGTTCGGGCAGGGTGTACAAATTCTCCTAGTGGTAGGAATCGAACCTTACATGTCGTGTTTGAAACAAGTCGGTTTGGTTTGGATTTTCAGTATTAGTTACTAGCAGGGGTGGATTTTCGGGGGGAGGGGGGGGGGGGGACCGCCCCCCTTGGACTATCAAAATTTTCTACTATATATATATATATATATATATATATATATATAATATTTTAATAAAATTTTCATACTCTAACTAGATTCGCCCCCCTTAACTTTTAGTTTCAAAATTAATATATAGTCTTACATAATGTAGTACCTACTTGGAAATGTAAAAGAAGGAACATCTAAAATAATTTAAATAACTTAAACAAATAAACAATAGAACAACTCATTGTTTAAGACTTAGGGTACTTGTTATATAAAAGTTCCTAGTTTTGTAATATTTAATAGTCTTTATTAGATAACTCATAACTAGTACTCCATTTTGTAAAATATATATCGAACAATATTAAATATCAGACACACTAGTTATACACTTTTTTTTAAAATGTGAAGTGAAACCAAAATATACTCCTAAATGTTTATTGACATTAAATTACATAGTTCATTTACTTCTTACTTTCTAAAAACAATTTATTGCATATATAATACTCCGTAAACTTTAACTTATTTTAGCATTAATACAACTATAATATGCACCATATCCACATGAATTAGAAATATAATATCATTATAAATATAATAATCTCATACATAATATTATAATATTAAGAAAACTCATCATGACTCACAAACACCCTCTTTGATAGATAAAAAGTATTGATGGTTGTGTGCCTTTTAAACTCTTTATCTTTAAATAATTGAATAAAATGTTATATATCCTTTTTTATTTTCAAATTATTTTCCTTTGATTTGTTGTTTCATATGTTATAACGTATAAATACTTGCTTCTAGAGCACTTCAATTATAAAATTGAAGTTATTTTGTCATTATCTAAACTCAAAATGTAGTAGATTGAAACGTTATCGTGCATGTATCAATGCTTTTTTTGAATAAAAATAGCCGCAAAGTTCTACACTACGAAAAAAATTCGCCCCGCAACACTAGCGAAAAAAATTTAAATTTTTACATTAATGAAAATTTTCGCCTCCCTTGATTCAAAATCCTAGATCCGTCCCTGGTTACTAGAATCAGAATTTAAAAATCGAATTAAAGAATCAAATCATAAATTGTACTCCATAAGATTTTATAAATAAATTAAATATTTAAAAAAATACAGTATTAGATAATAGGAACTCACAATATAACATTAATCAATGAAATCATTACAAGTTTAACTCTAATGATAATGCCTCAAGATAATTAGTGCATTAGATAATAACAAAATAATGTTCTCAACAAATAAATACTAATTATGATGGTAATAAGCAAATAGATCTTTGTCCACAATCAATTTTTTTTAGTAAATAAAGTTTACATACTCAGATCAAAATGTGTGGTTGCGCAGTTAAAACTAAAAAAAAACATCCGCTCCAATCCCATGCTGAAGTGCAAGGCCGGCGGCGCAACCACACCTTTTGATCTGAGTATGTAAACTTTATTTACTAAAAAATTTTGATTATGGACAAAGATCTATTTGCTTTATCGTCTACCAAACCTTGTCAATCGTAATCATATAATCAAATTTGGGTCGAAGGGAGTACTTCGTATGTAATGACACCTAAAAGCATTTTTAATGCAAGAATCTCATGGATGAAGAGATGATATATTCACTTGAATGAATAATACGATTACATCAAGAAGTATATATAAGCTAGTCTACGTGAGGATAGTATCTACACCTCATACAAACTCTAATAATGATAACACCTATCCGTATGCTAGAATAAAGGAACAGTTACAAGGGATATATGCACACACGGCTCTACATGCACGTACGTATATATTAATAATAAAATGTACATATAAATAATAGTTATGTTCTAATACGCCCCCGCAAGATGGAGGTGCCATCGGAAACTCCCATCTTGGAACGAAATTTTTCAAACAAAACACGGCCCAGGGGCTTGGTTAAGATATCCGCAATTTGTAACTTGGTGGAGATGTGTTGGACTGAAAGTTGACCCTGGGCGATGAGATCACGTACAAAAAAGAAGTCTAATGCCAGGTGCTTCATGCGTGAGTGAAAAACTGGGTTGACGCATACATACGTGGCACCAAGGTTATCACAATAAGAGTAGGAGTTGCCGGAACAGAGATGCCAAGTTCACGAAGCACATTTCGAACCCATAATAATTCCGCGCTAGCATGAGCAACCGCCCGATATTCAGCTTCAGTAGAGGAGCGAGATACACACTTCTGCTTAGCGGATTTCCAAGAGATAATATTAGAGCCCAGATATAATGCGTATGCAGTAGTAGAACGGCCCTCATCTTGGATGTTACCCCAGTTGGAATCTGAGAATACAGATAAATGGAGAGATGGGACACGCTGCAGCGATAGGCCAAAATGTAGGGTACCCTTTAGGTACCGAAGAATACGTTTGACGGCCTGCTAGTGAGAATCAAGTGGTCGATGCATGTGTTGGGAGAGACGGTTGACCGCGAACGATATGTCTGGTCGGGTGAAAGCTAAATATTGTAGTAGACCAAGGGCCCGTCTATACAATGAAGGATCATCCATGAGCCGGGTGGGAGATTCATTGACCAGATTAGAAGAACTCATAGGCGTGACAGATTCTTTTGCACCAGACATATGGCATGTATCAAGTATATTTAGTATGTACTGATGCTGAGATGAGAAAAGACCTGTAGCAGTAGGAATTACCTCAATTCCTAAGAAGTGATGGAGCGGTCCAAGGTCTTTGACTGAAAAACGAGTGGTGAGAGCGTTGATGAAAGAATTCACAGCTGTAGACGAACTTCCGGTAAGAACTATGTCATCCACATATACCAGAAAGTATATAAGTATAGAACCATGCGAGTAGATGAATAATGAATTATCTGCCTGAGATTTACGAAAACCTTGAGATAGTAAGAAATTGGATAGTTCTTGGTACCAAGCCCGGGGAGCTTGTTTGAGCCCATAAAGGGCTTTCCGAAGTCGACATATATGATTGGGTTTACCTTTGTCAGTATACCCGGGCGGCTGAGTCATAAAAACCTCCTCATGTAAGGAACCATGCAAGAATGCATTATTTACGTCAAGTTGTCGGAGATCCCACCGACGAGATAATGCAATGGTCAAGATGATGCGGACTGTTGCGGGTTTATTAACCGGACTGAATGTTTCAAAATAATCACGACCTTGTTGTTGAAGAAACCCACGAGCGACAAGGCGGGCTTTGTAGCGTGAAATGCCGCCGTCAGCATTGCGCTTGACTCGAAACAACCATTTACACGATATAGGCGTTCTGCCAGCTCGAGGGACAAGTTCCCATGTATTGTTGCGTTGCAATGCATCAAATTCGGAATCCATAGCAGCTTTCCAACGAGGTTCACTCAAGGCTTGGGTAATATTAGCGGGTTCCAGGCTATTGGGAAGGGGGTGATGAGACGTAGAATTAATGAATGGGCCACCAATGTATTTTGGGTTGGGAATTCTGGTACGTACAGGACGAGTGAGTAAGGGGGGAGGATTGTTGACATCTGGCTGAGGTGTGGTGTAAGTGGCAGTGGAAGAGTATTGGGAGGTGTGATTAATAGATAAGGAGGTATGGGTGGAGTTATTAGAGTGGATATTGGTGGCAGGAGGTGTGGGGTTGGAGGATATAGATGGGGTGTCCGAGAAAGGTCTGGGTTGCAGATGAGGCAGAGAGGACCGAGACATATGTGTGGGTGTGGTACATGGGAAGTGAGGGGTACGAAAAGGAAAAATGTGGGGAATAAATCTGACATGCCTGGACACAAATAGACGATTTTGTTCCACGGATAAACAGAAGTAGGCCGATTGAGAGATAGAGTACCCAACAAACACACAGGGTGTAGATCGTGTATGCAGCTTGGTGGGGGAATATGGGCGAAGCCATGGATAGCAAAGGCATCCAAACAGTTGTAGCTTATTGTAATTAGGGAGAGATTGAAAAAGGCGGTGATATGGTGAGTCATTTTGAAGGGTGGGCGTAGGAAGACGATTTATGAGGTATACTGCAGTTTGGAAAGCATATGGCCAATAATGTAGAGGAAGGCCGGAGTAGTGAAGTAAGGCGAGGCCGGTGTCAACAATGTGACGATGACGGCGTTCAGCAATACCATTATGCTCAGGAGTATGAGGTGGGGTGGTAAAATGAGAGATACCATTTTGATTGAGATATGAGCGTAGTTTAATGTATTCACCGCCATTGTCCGAGAATATGGAGGTAATAGTAAGATTAAAACGCTTCTCAACCAAACGATGAAATTGAGGGAATATAAGAGACACATCGGATTTATGTTTGAGGGGAAACAACCATATATATCTGGTGAAGTAGTCAACAAAAATAACATAATATTGATAACCATCAAGAGATTTATTTGTTGTACTCCATACATCAGAATATAATAATTCAAGAGGCCTAGTAGCATGCATAGTATTAGTGAAAAAGGGCAGCTTTGTGCTTTTATGAATAGAACATGACGGACAATGAAACTCTTGCGAGTAAGTACAAGAGGACAAATGTTTATTCTGTTTAACTAAAATATTGCAAATGCGACGTGATGGATGACCGAAAATGTGATGCCAATCAGTAGATGCTGAGAACTGGGTGACATGCATTTGCAGCCGAGAAAAATAGGCTGACTCGATCGTAGACGGTGCATAGTAAACATCATTAATGTTCATCCCCCGCATGAGTGGCGCCCCCGTGACTCGATCCTTGACAAGGAAAAAAGAAGAGAAAAATTCCACAGAAACATTGTTAGTTTTGCAGAGTTTAGCAACTGACACGAGATTTTTGTGAAGACTCGGGACACACAAAATGTTGGATAATGAGAGAGAGCGGGATGGGGTAGGTAGTGTAGTGGAACCAGTATGAGTGATGGGAAGTGCCTTACCGTTGCCAAGGTGAACCTCATCGGGACCGCCGTAGTCCGTATAAGACGGTAGTGCAGAAGCATCGGATGCAACATGATGAGATGCACCGCTATCAAACAACCAAGGCTGT